GGTCACGAAGATGTTCCTGCTAATAGCGAAAGTGCACTGTTGAAAGCTGTATCGAGTCAGCCTGTCTCCGTTGCCATTGATGCTAGTGGCTCTGACTTCCAGTTCTACTCTAGCGGTGTGTTTACAGGAGAGTGTGGCACGGAACTCGACCATGGCGTTACTGCAGTTGGTTATGGAACGAGTGAGGAGGGGACCAAGTATTGGCTGGTGAAGAACTCCTGGGGAACAAGTTGGGGTGAAGAGGGGTACATAATGATGCAAAGAGATGTTGATGCAAAAGAAGGCCTTTGTGGCATTGCCATGCAGGCCTCCTACCCTACTGCATGATTCGAGGAAGATTAAAAGTAATGATTGTACATTGATTATGTGTATTTCTGGTCATGTTAATAGAAGAAAACTCATGAACAGGTGATATATATTTGAAATTTGAAAATCATTGTATGGCTGCTACAATAATGTTGTGTGGCCGAAAAATTAATTCTTAGTTTGAAAGTATGTTCATATTACCACAAGCTTCTATGAGTGTGGCAAATATCAAACAAAACTATCACCCTTGCAACCAAAGCCTAGAGATAGGTTGAAACATGGGAAATCATAACTATGACAAATAGATGAAAGAACGAAATATCTAAGGGCGCAGGTTAAGTGGTTTTCTTGACGTAGCAAATAGTGAAACGTAAGATAGGCCGAGAGGGTGTGGAAAAACTGGTTGCTAGGAGGAAGAGGAAGGGTCGACCCACCCTTTTTGATTGAGAGGAGAAAGTACTAGTTTTTTGGGTTTTAAATATAAAAAGTACACATTGCCACATTGGGGCATTGGGCTTTGACTTTTAGTTTTTTAAAATAAAAAAGGACACTTATACTATAAAGAGAATTATTGCTACTGACATAAAGCTTATAGAAAAGCCAAAAAAATGCATTATCAAAGCAGATCACCTGAGGCATATGCCTCAACACCGCCTCATGCCTCACTGAACCGCCTAACTGAACCAAGGCATAAGCCTCGTCCAGGTGCGGTTTTAGTCCACCTCGCGTATGCCTCTAACGATTTTTTAAACCATGGTTCTACATATTCTCACATTTTCTAAGACTTTTTACAAGTCGCGTTCTTTAGAGAAACAACCTCTCAAGAGTAGCGTGACCATCATTCAAAAAGAGAAGGACCGGATAAACGTAGAAGGTGGCAAGTGGCAACCACCAAGGTGGATAACATGGGACTCTGATTTCAATGTGGATTTACTAGGTTTCTTTGGTTTGGTGTGGTTTCGTTTTTTATCTGCTTCCTCTAATTTCAATGTGGGTATGAAAGCTAAACAATCTACACAAATGAGAAAAACCTTTGACCAATTGAAGTCCCTAGCAACTGAAATATCAAAAAATCCATGACAAGAAGCAGCCAATAAAAGTGGGAGATTGCTTCATGATTGACTAACATGTTAGAAAGAAAGGCACACACAAAGAAAGCCGAAAGCGTGGTAACAGCAAGAGAGATTAGTGAATGACATGATAAGATGCACAAGATCAAGAAGTAAACTTGTGATTGTAGATGAAGCCGTACATATTTATTAGTTATCCGTCATTCTACTAGCCAATAATTCATCTATGAAATGAGCATATGCCCGCAATGGTATTGGTAAATTAGCATGACTCATCATGTTTCTAACCATTTCTAAAAGCATGCAACTTCACCTTTTAGCTACACCATTCTAAAAGCATGACTCATGAGTCGCAATTCCAAGCTTTTCGAGGAGTTTGGAAATATTCTCCACATATCTGACCTTATGATTGTTACCTTATTCCCTAATTGTCTCAAGGCCAAGTAATTAACACTTCAAGTACAATTTACATATTGAGATTTATTATGCAATAAAAGAGATAACAATAATGTGAATAATCACTAATAAAGGTCACGAAATTATTTTCTCCACCGAAAGTTGGAATATCATAAGGTCCACAAATATCTATATAATTAATTTCAAGGAGTTCAGAACTTCTTTAGCATATATCTTTGTGTGTTTTGTTGTTTTGCATACAATGCAATCCACACGACTTTTAAGTAAAGTCATCACGACTTTTAAGTAAAGTCATCACGACTTTGATAATAAGTAAAGTCAAGATTCGGAAGAACACTCATTTCATGTGATATTTGTCCGAACTTCTTATGCCATATATATTAATAAAGTTCTCATTCTTCATGGTTCCCATACTATGATGTAGGGTTAAATGGTTTTTAGATATCGAATGAGATGCTATAAAATTATAAAAACCATTGACAAGGATTTTGGAACAAATATTCGCATAAAGCTTGGATAAATGGAAATTACCATTACGCAAGTCAACCATAAAACCTTGCAAATCAAGTTTAGAAACCGAAACTAAATTGAGGGAAATTGAAGGAACGTATAATGTTCAAAATAAATCTAAACTATTCCCTATGACTAGAACAAGATGATACATTCCTAGAAGAAGCATACAGTTGGATTTGTGGTTTGGGTTGTAAGGAATCTCTGTATTGAATTGGAAACATGCACGTTAGCACATGTATCCATACACTATGAGTTTGAAGGCACGTGAGATAATATTGGTTATGGAAAAACTATTGAACCCTACGATTACCTTCTTTCCAATCCCGCTATGTCGTTTCGGAAGATCGTTCTAGAAATGTCCCGGTTTCTTGTACAAACCAACAGTCTCATCTTTTTTACCTTCAAAATGATATGTCCTCGAGTAGCAAGATATTATAATTCATTTTGGATGGTTTACAAAATGATATGTCCTCGAGTACCAAGATCTACAACAATGAAACCTCAACGAGCCAACCTTTTTTTTCCATATCAAGTTGCTTTCTTATCCCATCCACTGTCAAGTTAGCTTCATATGTGTTATAATGCATTTGGAAAGAAGAATATTGTTCACGTAGAGAGTTTGAGGATAAATGTGATGAGAAAGGTTTTAGTAACACGTATCCCTAAATCATTAAGCTTGATCGAGATATTTTACATTCTTAATAACATGATCGTACATTGAACATGTACCATCAAACTTCAAAGTAGTGATCATGCCATTAAGTTCCCAACAACGGTATAGAAGCTTGTCATGTTTATTTTTTGTTGTTTTATTTCTGTAGGGCCATACTCGTTATAGTTGATTTTTTTTCCTTGGACTGCAGAGTCACATTTGTTAAAGATAAAGGGTGGCAGGAGCAATTAGATGAAGGATTTGATTGCAATTATTTGTTCCATATATAAGTTTTTCCTTCGAGTTTTTATTCATAATGTTTTACCTGAGGTATTTTTTTTCTCTCTCAAGTTCTCCTTGATAACAAGTGTACTAGTTGGGGTTTCTTCTTGAGAGATTCTTGTAATCATTTTCAGATTTCTCAACTATTCTTTGTGAATCTGGGTTAATAATAATTTTGCTTGGTAGACTTCTCACAGCAAAGTTAAAGCATTCTGCAACAACATTCATAAAATCCTTACTTTATTCCTAGTGCGGACTGAGAACTTTGTATTTGGATAACATCCAGAACTTGATATTTGTATAAATCGTCATCCGCATGAACATAAGGCTTAATATGTTACATATCTCCCACGATATATGGACTTCTTTATCCTCTTGGGTACTTCTGCCATCAAGTTGAGGAGGTTTTCATTTCTCCCTTTTACCTTTGATTCCTTGATGATTTGTTTTCTGGGATTCTTTTATAGGCAAAAAGAGGACCAAAAAAAAACAATAGATTTGATGTGAATCTTCCATCAAGATATCACTAAAATTAGGGGGCTATCTCCTAAATGAAATAGGATGGTTTAAGTATTTAGAATAAATAAACGAAAACCCACATAGGAAAGTAATAGTAACAAGTCTATCAAAGCTTTCGTATACTGTATTAGATCATATCAGTCAATGCACTAGCAGTAACATGTCTATCTATATGAATCACCTTGATCTTTTTTCCTTTTAAAGAGTATAGCTTTGAATTTCCTGCTTAAGTATTTTTCACTGTTTTATGAAAATGAATCTCATGAATGTAGGGCTTTTTATAACAATTCAGTTGCCTGACGTTACATATTACCTTGTGATAATCCATAATATGTATGCTTATATTAGAACTGCACATGTGCAGAAAAATCACGATAACTAATATATACCTTGGAGAGTTTGTCGACTATTATCTATCTGTCTGGTACAATTAGAGTTGAATAGAACATGACTAGAGAAGTTGCCCCTAAAAATTATAGACTTTTATATATCATATAGTTATAGATGACATAAAATCTAGTAAATATTTAAATAGTTTTATTTATAAACATGTTTATACAATTTTCATATACATAAATACATACATATACAATAGTACCAAATTTGAAAGAAGAATTTGATCTAATTTTTGGTAGTTCCAATAACTGTTCATACAAAAGAAAAACTATGTTTTATTCGGTTTGGAAGATCCTTACGGACTGGCGGAGGTGCGATGGAGGTTGTTGTAGCGAAAATGGTGGTGAGGGTAGAGGCAGTGGTGAGTGGTGGATGACGGTGACTATGGAAGATGTGAAAATGGTAGATACTGGTGGTGCTGGGGGTCGGCAGTGGTGGAGGAGGTAGGTGTGGCTGATGTGGTGGAGGTAGAAGTGGCAGTGGACGGTGGTAGTGGTTAGCTGATAGATGGTGGTGGACAACTGAGACTGTAGAGGATGTAAAGATAGTGGACAAGAGGCACGGTGGAGGTTGTTGCAACCACAATGGTGGTGGGGGTAGAGGGGGTGGTGGCCGGTAGACGATAGTGACCGGAGGATGTGAAGATGGTAGTGGTGGTGGCGGCAGCCGGCAACGGTGGATGAGGTAGTTGTGGCTGACTGTCGAAGGAAGAGGTGGTTGTGGGCGGTGGTAGTGGTGGCCAATGGTGGTAGACGGTGGTTGTAGAGGTGGTGCAGTAGGTTTGTAGTAGTGGAAGTGGTCGACAATGGTCGGTGGTGGCTGCCGGTGGTGGCGGCGGCGGCGGCGATGGACGGTGGTGACTATTAAAACTAATACCATATTAAGGTTTTATCAAATGAAGGAAGATTAGTATTTTTTTTAGTTTTTGGCTCACCCTTATCCCATCTTGTTCCACATATTTTGGTGGAGCAAAAAATGGCTTTTTTTGTCCCAACTTATCCCACCAAACATGGGACTGTGAGTTTTGTCATGTCCTAGCCCGTCCTGTCCCATGTACCAAACGCAGCCTTACAACACTATCCCCATTTAGAGTTGCTGATTTCTTTGATTCAAGTACAAGGGTTCAAGATCAGGTGATGACCCAAAGGCAGGTGGTGGATGAATGCTGCCATCCTATAAATCATCATTTCACAACACTGAAGATCCCGAAATCAAAGAAGACAGAAGTGGGCAAGAAAACTAACAGTTTTAATGATATTTAAAATGGGCATATCAGGGAGAATAAAACCTCTTTAGCAGACACTCACATACGACTTTGATAAGCTAAGAAAATAGTATATGTTGGTGGGTTATAATGTGCAGGTATCTGAAGTCATACCTTGTAACACCCCCATTCCGAAAGAAAGGGAGGTTGCTTCAAACGTAACGGAGCCGCTATATAAAACCTCCAAAATATAGTCTCCAATACCAAATAAAATCTTCCAATAACGAAATTGAATATAACTCTAAATAAGATATAAAGGTCTCCAAACAAACCATTTCCAAAATCCTTCAACA